ATTATCCTCTGACTCGCGACTTACAGTTTTACAGCAGGCGCTTGAACCCTCCCATGATAAATAACGGCAGGCAATTCATTCGCCCATCCATCTCTTTGGACCCACATACGATGATGGCGACAATCGTGGGCGGCGACGGCCCTATCTCTACTATGCCGTTGCTCTGGACTGCGCTGGGATGTGCTGCGGTGGCCACGCTGTATGTTGTACGCCGGCGCACCGCCGCGCGCTCGAAACTCCCGCTGCCGCCTGGGCCTCGGAAATTGCCATTCATCGGCAACCTTCTCGACATGCCCGCGAGCTTCCAGTGGGAGAGGTGTATGGAGTGGAGCGCAGAGTATGGTGCGTCTGCCGTAGCCGTCCGCGTTCGTACTCTGCTCATCCGTTTCGCATCCAGACTCTGACATCATTCACCTCAACATCGCCGGGACTTCCATGGTCGTGCTTTCATCCATCGAAGCGACGGAGGCGCTCCTCGACAAGCGCTCGGCAATCTACTCCGACCGCGCTGACTTTCCGATGGTCAAGGACCTCATGGGCTGGGGTTTTAACATTGGACTGATGAAATATGGTCCGTGGTTATTGTTCTTGTTCCTCGAGCACGAATAACTCAAGGTGAACATTCATTCTATTAGGCGACGTCTGGTGCGTCTTCTTCCCTTCTTCCCGTGAAGTGAACACTCACAGACGCCTCAACCACCCAATCAGGCGCGCGCACCGCCGCCTCTTCAGCCAAGAATTGAACCAAATCGCTTCGCAGCGGTTCCTCCCCCGCGAGCGCGCCGCGACGCACAAGTGCCTCCGCAGGCTGCTGAAGGTTATTCAATTCCATGCTAGTCCATACTCCCAGCAGCACTAATAATTTTGGCTGATTCTGCAGACTCCCAATGACTGGGTAGACCATCTCAGACAGTGCGCCAATTTTCGCTTCAAAATAAGTATAGTGTGACTGACGGCGAACTCAACTCCCAGGATGCTCGGCGAGCAGATCCTGGCGATGGCGTACGGGATTGAGGTGGAGCCCGAGAACGACCCGTTCGTTGCGCTCGCGGAGCAGGCGATACAGACCGTCGCGACGGCGGGGATTCCGGGGAAGTATTTGGTTGTGAGTTGTATACCGAACGTTTCCTTCTCCTCGGGTATTACTTTTTTTTTTGCTCTATGAATTCTCGATTCGTCTTCAGTTCATCTCGTCGTTTCTCTTTGAAAATTTCCACATACTGACGTTGCGAACTAGGACTCGATTCCCCTCCTGCGCTACATCCCGGAGTGGATGCCTGGCGCAGGTTTCCAGAAAGCAGCGAAGAAGGGCCGCAGGCTTGGCCTGGCGGTACTGAATGTGCCATTTGCGGAGACGAAACGACAGATCGTGCGTTCAATCTCTTAAATATGGACTTCCACCTAGTTGAAGGGTTGCAAAACAATCAGGCAGCCGGCTCCGCCCCGTCCTCCTTCGCAGGTGATACCCTGCGCGCCCTTTCCTCTGACTCCACTGCCCAATCCGATCTCTTCTACACCGAGAGCACCGTTAAGAGTACCGCAGCATCGATGTACCTCGCCGGCGCGGACACGACCGTGTCATCTCTCCACACCTTCGTGCTCGCGATGCTCGTCAATCCGGAAGCCCAAAGGAAGGCGCAGGAGGAGATCGACGCGGTGGTGGGAAAGGGCGGATTGCCGGACTTCGTGCATCGGGAAAACCTGCCGTATGTGGAGGCGCTGGTGAAGGAGGTGTTGAGGTGGCGGAATGTTACGCCGTTTGGTGCGTGTTTATGGTTTTGTGGCGGTTCCGTTCCTGAGTCAGCACTTGGTGCACTGTGTCAAGGTGTCCCGCACTACATAACCGAGGAGGACGAGTATCGCGGGTATCGCATCCCCGCAAATTCGATGATTATGGGGAATGTATGGTGCGAGTCCTGACCGGAAGTGCATTGTTCGTTTGCTGTCTGAACACATATTCATTCTCAGGGCGATCCTGCACGATGAGGCCATGTATCCCGATGCCGACACCTTCAAACCGGAGCGCTTCCTCAACGCGGACGGTACACCAAATCCGGATGTTAGGAGTCCGCAGGCCGCGTTTGGGTTTGGTAGAAGGTATGTTTAAGGTTCTGCTGTGTTCTTTCTTTCTTTCTTTTCAGTCCTCCTTGTACCTCAACCTTGACTGCGAGGGGGCCTGCCTTTGAATGCAATGAAACTGACTCACATCCACCCACGCAGAATCTGCCCCGGCCGTCACCTCGCCGCGTCTTCCATGTGGATCGCTATCGCGTCCATCCTCGCAAGCTTCAACATCACCAAGGCTGTGGACACCGGGGGTAATGTGATTGAGCCGACGTACGAGTATGTGACTGGGTTATTGGTGTGAGTGCTTTTGATTGTTTCCTGCGGCTCGATGGGATACCGTATCGTTTTTGTCATCCATTGCATTGCGCTGATACGAAATTTCGTCATAGCTCCCCAGCGCCGTTCAAATGCTCAATCAAACCGAGATCCAGGGACGCTGTCGAGCTTGTGCAGGGTACGGCTAATGAGATCTAGTTCCTCTCTTAAGCGTTTTCTGGAGAGAGAACCTCTCGGTAGCACCCCGGGTGTATTTACGAACTGTTTTGATTTTTTTGCTGTGAAGCAGACTCTTCCCTCGATTCTTATGAAAATCAAACAAGGCATGCCTGCGCTTCGCTCCGGCAGTGGGTGAGAATTGAGAGACGCACAATGAATTTAGCATGGGTATTTATGGGGGTACAATCTACGACCAAGACGGAGCCTGAGATGGACATGGGGCATACACTTGGTCGAAAATTGGCACATAGGGCTGCACGGATCTGGAGGAGGGGCAGATGGGAAGGAACAACCACCGGAAGGCCTTCTTGATTGCTGTTCAATTTGACTCCTGGCAAGAGGCAAGAGGCATAACAATTTGATAGCTTTGAAGAATATTATCCGTGAAGTATAGAACGGGAGCAATCAGACAGCAGCAGAAGGATCCTCCAGACAGCATTGTTGATCATCAGTAAGCAAAGGGTTTGTGGGCGTCGAAAGAATTGTGGCACCACAGGAAGAGTGAGGGAGTGGCGAAGGTAAGGATGTGGCAGCTTTCCGAGGCGCATTTATATTCGTAGGTGATGCGGACGTGGCCACAGTTCGTGCTCGCTGGTATACGTGTCCGCAGCTCGGGTGCTCATCGGGCTGCGCCGCAGTGAGAACTTCCAGTTTTTTTAGGTGGTTTTCAACAGCTTTACAACTGCTGTTGAGCGACAGCTTTGGTTTGAACATTGCGTACAGCATTCAAATGGAGATAGATTCAGCACAAAAAGGCTTCGTTGCAGCTCGGGAGGAGAGATTAAACCGGAAGGAGGTAGATTTTATTTGTGCAGAATCAAAGAAGATCAAAAACCAAAGAATCGAGACAGTAAAGATTAAGAGAACGAATAATTTGCGATGCTGGTTTGCCTAATATTCTACCCTTCGAACTAAATAAATATTATTGTTGAGAAGCGGGTCCACTGATTGTCGCCACCACCAGATGTTCACGCTGGCCTGGCGAAATTCACAGGATTCCTAATTTCTTACACCTTTCACCATACAATTGGGCTATCCCCTTCTTCAGCCTAGTTAGATATAGAACCAGCGCCGTCAGAGTCCGAATGATCTGCAAGCACCGGACTCCCCTCGGTGTCCATCAAATAACACTCCGCTGGCATCGACGTCAGTTCAAGGAGGAACGACGTGAAGGGGAATATCCTCCTACCATCGATCTCTCCTTGTATCTTGCGTGCCACGAATCGTTCCGCGCGGACCCAAACATCTTCTCCGCCCCGCGCCCCGAGCTCCCAGTCCGCTTCATAGCTCTCATACATCCCCACGACCACCCGCGGATCCCTAAAAGGTGCGTCGGACGCGTACCAGGTCATAGCCGACGCCTCGGACGTAGTGATTCCGATTAAGAGCACGGTCAGGCCGGGGCAGTCCTCAAGGATGCTCTCAAGCACCTCCGGGGAGGGATCACTGTCTACACCGAGATGGGTCAGCGCGGGGAGCGTGGACAGTTGCTGCAACCATTCCGACCCGTCGCTCTGAATCTCGTCAAGCACCGTCAAATGCGTCACAGTGCGAAACAGCGGATGCGAGAAATCTGCGCCGTGTGGTGAGAGGAGAGACCACATGTCGGCAGTCAGACGTTGGAGGCGCATGGAGCCGAGTGCATCCAGGATCCGCGGGTCGCCGTCGCTCGTTACGCCGGAGAGGCTGGTAATTCCTGGACATGATTCCAGGAAACTTTCAAGGGCGCCGGCTTCCAACGTGTGGATGCCACTGGATAAGAGCACATGCCGAACATTGGCTGCGAGAAAAGGGGCTGGCTTCATCTTGACCGCTTCTAGGAATGCCACGTTCAGCTCAGCATTGTCAAGCCGGAGGATAGCGTATAGAAGAGGTTCGATCCTGATGTTCGAATGGGTAAATACGGGCCTAGCAGATGGACGGGGAGGTGGAAGTACATCCGGATTGCTCACCAGCCTCGAACACGATGTGCAACTCGGAGAAGGGATGGGATGGTTTTGGGATGCAGTTCGGCGGCGAGTTCAAATGTCTGTCGCTCGAGTTCCAGGGGAAGTCCTCCGGTGGTCATAGTCAGGAGCAGGAGAAGGGCGAGCGGGTCAAACGTGTAAATAAATCTTCATAAGCAGATTCGTATCAGACACGTCTGACAGCGTGATCCGACATTGTCCCGGACCATCCGATATATTCCGCCGGCCAGTAAACTCGTCGCATTTATGATTTTTGGCTGGCAACTTGCTGCCCCGTCTATGTCATTCGAAAGGCCATTGGTTTTTTCTCTTGTTTTGGAAATGCCGGATATGTTTCCACGGTAAGAATATTGTACATTACAGTATGTCTTCCCCTCATGTCTTCTTCAGGATCATCGTTCAACTTGCGTTCAACCAAAATATCCGTATGTAGATGGGGTTCAAAAACGAGTGACTAAAGGTACCCACAGATTGGGCATGGCGCAAAAGGATAGCGCGGCCTTGCGAATTCTCCCCTCGGCTGGGATGAGAGGCAGATCGAGGTTCGATTCCTCGTGTCCGAGGTTTTTGCCCCGCAGGCGCCCGTCGGTCGCTTCCATGTTAAAAACCACACAATCTGAGTTGTCTGGACCACCTTGTGTCATGCTCACGTTATAGAAAAGGAATTGAACATGGAAAAAAAACCTTCGGCAGCAAGGGCGGGAAAGTATGCCGAGTGATGGGCCTGATCGCCGCCATCATCTCGGACCAATAGACGGATCCCACGGTGTGTTTTAAATCAGGATTAGCTTCCCAGAGAGCGGTCAGAGGATCGCGGATGAGTTCAGCATGTGTTCGAATGTCCAAATGAGGTTTATATAAAATTATCCTTTCCACGAGGACGAATTGTTTTCACCGCAAGCACTACCAAGGGCCAATGTTCAACGTTCTTCGACGGTGGATGTTCTGGCGCATCCCAAGGTAGGTACTTAAGGTAGGTACATTCCGGTGCAGCAGGCCACTGGAATAACTTTGATCCGTCGCGCCTAGCAGAGGATCAGCAATCGCGTCATATGCAATGTGCATTGATTTCATGGACTGATCATCGATATCACGCCATCGCAACACATATATCCCGTGTACGCTCAATCATCGACCCCCACTTCCCAGATGACCCTTCCCACTACAACCCACCAGTACTCCTACCCGAAGGTTTGCCTCGGCTCAAAACTCCAATAATATGCATTAACTTCTCGTCACCACAGTTAGGCTCTTACGATAACCTCGTCGTCCAAGAGGTGCCTGTGAGCGCCCCAAGGCCGAACGAGGTCCTGGTCAAGACCCATGCTGTTTCTTTGCAGGTACATATTTTCCTGACTGCGAGGATCGTTGACTATAATGACAACCATTGTACCAGTTCCGTGATCTCCTGATCGCCAAAGGGGCATACCCGGGCAGGTGCGTCCAACCTCGCAATCTGACGTCCAATTATTGAAGAATTTCATCCGTGAAGTCTCCCTCCCAATCTCGTTCCATGCTCCGATGTAGCCGGGGAAGTAATTGCTCTCGGCGAAGGCGTTAAGGAATGGAAAGTTGGCGATCGGGTCTGTGCAAATTTCATCCTCGACAGAATACACGAAGGACAAGTCGGCGAACTTGCCTTGGGAGGTGCAACCGACGGGGTTTTGACAGTATACCGAACATTCCCGGCCCAAGTAAGGCTCCAAACGTCGGTGTTGTACACACTAAAAGCTTCATCTAGTCCCTAGTGGCGATTCCCGAACATCTGTCCTGGGAAGAAGCGTCCACTTTACCGTTAGTGGTATTATTTGTTTTGGCCACCAAGCTGCAAGACCTTTTTTTTTGTAGCTGCGCTGCTTTGACTGCATACAACGCTCTCTTGTCCGGATACGAGCCGCTGAAGGCTGGGGATACGGTATTAGTTCAAGGGACCGGTGGTGTATCTATGTAGGTGTCATTATCTCGTCCACGAACATTTAAACGACTCACAATCACACCCGTATAGATTTGCGCTCCAATTTGCTGTCGCATCGGGAGCCACGGTTATCGCTACATCGTCCTCCGATGAGAAGCTCAAGGTCGTTACAAAACTTGGTGCCAAGCATGTAATCAACTACAAGGTTCTTTTCTTCGCCGCCGCACTTTCAACCTTCTGACAAGTTGCAAAGACGACTCCAAAATGGGACGAAGAAGTTCTGAAACTCACCAATGGCGTGGGTGTGGATCGTGTCATCGAGGTTCGATTCTTGCCGATTAGTTCTTCAACCGACGACTGAATTCATGTAGGTAGCAGGCAATTCAACCCTGCAGCGATCGATTTCCTCCGTCAGAACCGGAGGAAGCATTGACATTATCGGTTTTGTGGGTGGGCGGGTGAGTAGCGTTTCAAAATTAAAAACAACCGGTAAACTCACTCATCCAACTGTTGCAGACTGATGACCCTCCGGATATCATCGGAGCCAGTATCCACAAGCAGCTCAAGATCAGAGGAGTTTACGTCGGCTCCGTGCACCAGTGAGTCTACCGCTCGACTCTGCAACTGCCATTAGACATTTGCAAACCCAGGTTCCAAAAGATGAACAAGCTCATCTCGGCCAACGTTGAGGCTACGCGGCCGGTCGTCGACAAGGTGTTCCATTTTGACGATGCCAAGGCCGCCTTTGCGTATCTGGAGTCCCAGGCGCATGTCGGCAAGGTGGTAATCTCGCGGAAAAAGAGTCCCCAACAACAGCAGCACTGAAGGGCGCGTTGCTTTTGAAGTACAATAAATAAGAAAGCGGATAGGTGCTTGCTATAAGACCCCAAATGAAATGTACATTCAACATGTCAATGGAACGAAAGTGTAATGTAGTTAGTCTTTCATTGCAATTTGTGCTACTTTCATCTCGATATGACAAGCTTAAGATGTTGAAGGTGGGGTGTTCCCGTTTGAACTGCATCACGACGCATATTTCTGGAGTGCGGCACGGATGACGATAACCAACGGTTGCAGTTAAGGAGGTCGGTATAGGAATCACTGCGTTCCCAGCTCGCCGAGCCTGAGGGTGTCGCCCTGTGGCGGGCTGTGGTCGCGCTGACAAAGAAGCACCGCCACAACACCGCCACACATCAAAAACCTGTGTGGCGGTGTGTCTTTGTCAGCGCGACCACAGCCCGCCACAGGGCGACACCCTCAGGCTTGGTGGGCTGGGAACGTAGTGAATGAGGCGTCAGTCATCACGCAGTACATACCCTGCGTGCAACTAACTCACTCCACCGACACTGGGGTATTTGGTGTCCGTTTATTGAAAAGGTTCAGGCCATCCCGTGCCGGGATAAGAGGGTGAGCCTTGGTGCGGTCAATCGCGACCTTTGAGAACGCACAGCTGAGGAAGTATAAATGGATTCCGATTACACCGTGTGTCCGATAAGTACAGAAGCGGTCCGATGCGTCTGGAAAGTGGCGTGCTAAAGAATATCGGATACCGCCAAACCTTTACAACCGAAATTGCTGCCGTCTGGATGCACGACATGGCAGGGACTTGACGGGGCGCAGATTGGTAGGCGTGCACGAGAAAAACGACTAACCAAGTCGCCTTGGGTCGGTTTGAACGACGGACTATATATCAAGTGCAATGTATGCCCGTTGTGCGGATCGCAGAATGAGAAATACCGGAGCTGATAAATTCAGTCGTGTCTAACCAGAGACATATTGACAACCACAGACCAGATGCTTGATTGCTTCCGGGCGACCATTTCTCATTCTGGCCTCGAGTTCTTCAATTATAGATTATATTAAACCAACGAAGATTGTGACTAAAAGGCATGGGCACGATCGCACTTTAGATTGCAATCTCAACTTTCTCGGACGGAATAGGCGCAGCTTCGAACTTTCTGAAGTCCTGCAATCCGGTTTGTTGCTCCAAAGCTTTGAGGCAATCAACTGCTCCGAACTTAAAGTTCAGATTTTCTGAGTGTAGATACGCTCTACTCTATCAGGGGCACTAAACCGAGGTCCGAAGTTCAACCATTTGATGGTGGGATAGACGGTGGCGCAGAAGTGTTGCCAAAAGAATCGTCACTGCCTCCAGAACCGTGAGATTGGCGATGTTCAATAGGAATAAATGCCAAAGTTGATAACTCCAAGCAGTTTGTGCTGCATTATTTTCCCTGGGAGCCCAGACACTTCCCAGTACCCCGATGTTTAGCCTAAAGGCTGGAAAATAAACTTTTTGAACCATCTGCGTTGGTCACAAGGGGCTTCGAAGATAAGCAATTCCCTTATGGGGTTGAGGGAGGGAGGGGTCGGCGAGGGCCCGAAAAAAAAAATTGGTACCATTTTTGAAAAGTTGATCTTGAAGCCACAATTCGCCCAGAAAACGTATCGGACATTTTTCAGACATTGTTTCACCATTTTCGCAATTGTTGAGTCAACTTTTGCCCAGTAATTTGATGTTATTTGGCATTTTCACCGCTTTCATCCATGCCGGCAGGTGCTTCCGACTTTCGGCAAGTCTCAAATATATACTAGCTTTTTTTCTTGGGGACAAGATTATTGATGCCACTATCCCTAGCTACTCCGAAATGCTTTAGGCTGCAAGGGGGAAATATTTGTGCATTGTACGGGTGGAAATACTTCCTCCTAGAACGTGAATTTGATGGCCAAAAGCTGAGATTCACATGCTCACCCGTGGGAATATCGCTCGGCTAGACTCGGCCAGGCTCGGCCCGCTCGGCTAAAGGGAGGGAGGGGTCTTCAACCCTCTGAGAAAAAAAATGGAAGGTATGTTGTAATTTTCGCATTTTCAAACCCCCTTGGTTGGTCAGCTAAGTGACGGTAGGTCTGTTACTGTCACCGTCACACTCTTTGCTTCCTACTTCCTCGATGCCGCCACTGGCAGCTTACCGACTCGAAGCAATTGCCACAATCTGCGGCGCAATTTAGTCCTAAGTATAGCATGCAAAACCTCCGAGCACCTGTCAAAACGCCTCTTCGCCCTGCCGTCGTTCTCATGTCGAAAAAATAGACACCAGCCGCTTCTCCCTCGCCGTGCTTAACTCCGTCCCAGTGGGAATTTGCTTTTCAAGACTGTAAGAGACTCTGCTTTCAGACAACGATCCCGCCTCATCGGCCTAGGCAAGGACCATACCACTCTCCAGCCGACACGGATCATCAAAGTGTTTATAACCTTAGCCGGAAACTATCTAAAATACGTCGATCTTCCTGGAAAACTTGGCCCCTTTCTTGCGACGGCACCGCCTGGTAATTATCCCAGGGCGGCGGCCTTGGCAGCGAAGAGATTGGAGGCAACACAATATCGCTACCATCACCTCTCCCTGGGCGCAACAACGGCAATCTTGGCTGCAAGAGGATGCGCTCTTGCGATGTCGAAGCGCGCAGCATCTGTGGTGATATCTGAGCGTCAGGGCGGGGCCACATTCCTGAATGCGAGCCCTCCCGATGCGCCGAGACATACGTCGTTACGGAATCGGAGGCTTTACTTCGCGCGAAGACTCCCACTGGCACCCGGATATCCCGAAGCGCTGGGTAATCTTCAATGACGTGCAGCCTCGCCCTATTCGA